GGCTATAGTACTTGCCTGGCTATAGTACTTGCCTGGCTACAGAAACTCTTTCTGGGCTGTATCTAACTCCATTTCCAGCAATCAGTTATGGTTTGTGTTAGTGTAGGGCAGTGTTGTCCAAACTTGGCCACTTTAAGATGAGTGGACTTCAACTCCCAGAATTCCTGGTTGGTTGGCTGGCTGGGGAATCCCCATGGCTGGCTGGGGAATTCTGGGAGTTGAAGTCCACTCATCTTAAAGTGGCCAAGTTTGGACAACACTGGTGTAGGGTAATGAAAGTATTACCCATCTATTCTTTTTATTGTTCTAGAGTTCTGTATCTCCTAAAAATGTTGTTTCCCTAGGTTTTTCCAGTGATAAACTTCCCTAACAGTGCCATCAATCAAATTTCCCGACGTGCCATCGAACAACATCGAGCTCAGTTTGGATCCAGTGCACGGATACTGAGACAGGTGAGAACTATTGACACTGGCAGAGTGCTCTTCATAAAGGTGCTGGTCTACCACAGTGCTGTGGATTAACTGATTTATAGTCCTTTCTGATAGCAAAAGGAAATGTCTCTATGCATGGAGTTCCTTCTCACAAAAGGCCATAATAAAATTATTCCATGTTTGTTATTCATTTGTTCCTTTGTGTCTCTGGGCAAGTCATGTACACATGTCCCCCAAATGTGTGGTTCTCAGGTCCCCTCTAAAATCTGCATGCAGATTATTACTTAAGGAAATGGAACTAAAAAACTACTAGCTGTATTGAATTAATGTATTGAATTCAATTAGGTATTGAAATGTATCTGTCCATCTTTTGAAATGCAGTTTCTGGCCTATTATCCAAAGGACTGATATGGCCTCAGATTCCTAAAATTTAAGACCTATGCTGTTAGGGAATCCTCTGGTTCCTGTAATTGAAGACTTACATAGCACCTATTTAAGGCTGAGCATCCAAGAGTGGGTAGTGGGGGGGGGGGGAGCTGTCATCAGAAAAAGTCAAAGCTTGATAGTTGGCACAGAAATATTTGTCTAAATCAGAGTCACCAAGATCGAAACACTTCTAAATGTGGTTAAATGGGAAAGCTTCCTGCCCAAACACCAGGAGTATGTGGGAGATTCACAGTTCTGAAGTAGCATACAAACAGCTAAAAACAAAATTTAAAATATTAAACGTTAATAGTTATATCAATGTTCTTGTGTCCCAGTGTCCTTTTCTGCTTCATGTGAGAGTCATATCGATTAGGGATAGAGATGGATGTAAGATTGTGAAGCTTCTGCCTGTCCTTTTTAAAGATAAAACATCTATGAGTGTGGGCAGAGGAGCTGAACTGGGAGAAGGGCCCTGCCATTTCCACCACCAAAACAAAATTGACAAGAGTCTAGGGGTACAACTTTGTGATCACATTGCAACTTTAATATATTGTCAAAAATGCTTATTTACTGGAGTTATAAATCTAGGATCACTGTTTCTACTGCAACTGAGCCATGTATTGTGATGTTACTCTTCCTGTGTAGGCAAAAGAATGCATCTACCAGTTTCTTGTTCTATGCTTTTATTAATGTATCTGTCAAAAGGAAGATTCAGCGCCGGGACAATCTTCCTTCCTTTTTAATCAGCTTTTGTACTTCTTCCCACGTAGTCACATCGCAAAGCAATTTACAGTTTAATAAATCTTAAAAATATAAAACATATTCCTTACAAAGTTTGAGGGGGAAAGAAAACAAAACCAAACTTAGCATATTCACAACATTCACACAGAAGGGGCTTAGATTACAAGAAAAGTTCTTTCTAGGCACCTAAAGGACATACTAGGAAGTGCGTCACACATTTCAGAGGGAGGAGTGATCCAGAGAGCTAGGACATAAAATAATGATATATTTTACAGGCACTGATAGCAAGTATATTGTGGAATTATTTCCAACACTGGTAATTTCCTAAGTGACAGGGCAAATATGATGGGGGGGAGGGGAGCACTATGTATATTGCCTTGAGCTGTACCCCCCCCCCAAAAGGTGGGATATAAATCAAATAAATCAATGGATGGATGCAGGGGAATATGTACTCTAGTTATACACAGCATACGGGGACGGCCTTAGACGTTGAAATTATAAACAAATGCTCAAAGAAGCCAGAAAGATTAAGAAAACAAATAAATAGGAGCAGGCCATTGTTGGTTTGGTTGCAGAGTATCATTATGTATGAATGTATTTTTATTCCACCTTTTCTCTAAAGTGGTGTGCTTGTGGTAATGGTGGGAGAATCTCCTCTCATTTTATGCACACAGCCTGCCTTAGAGTAGGTTGGGTTGAGAATGAATGTCTGGCCCAAAATAATCCAGGAAGCTCAACAGTTATATGGGGACTTTAACCCGGACCTCCTCCCTTCAGCCCTCTCTTAACTTTTGAACACTCCTCAGCTTGGTTTCAAAAATTCTCTGTGAGCCAGTTGAGGATCATATAGTGTAGCTCCTTCCCTGGTAGTCTTCTGATAAAAATAAAAAAAAAGGGTGCTCAGAATGAGAACAAAGGATGGGAAGGGGAAGAGACCTCCCCCCCAAGGGATTAATACCAGTTGTGTTTGTGGAAGTTGATCATCCCTAAATAGTAGTTGTGAAACTATAATCAATCTGTTTCTTAAAGAGTGTGCTGTTTTAAGTATTAAAATTGTGTCTTTTGTCTTTTTTGCAGAAACAAACAATAGAGCTGTTATTTCTTACCAAAGTGGAATATGAATGGCATGAGAAATCCTATTCCTATTATGTTTATGGGAATGAGCACAAGGTATATGCGAAAAATTACCCTAAAAAGTGTTGTACTATTGTATGATATATGGGTCTTCCAACCATTGACAAAGAAACCCTGATCATTCCTGCATTACGTCTACTCTTCTGCTTTTTCATTTCTTTCTTTTTCAATTCACATATCTCAGATGAATTATAAATAGTTGTTAGCCTTTAAAGAAGACAAAGAGGATTATCTCAAGGACTGAAACACTTCGCATAATTTTTGTACGACTGATAGTTTATTGTTCCTCTTGAATGTTAAACATACTTGTGTTGGTATATTAGTTATAACAAGTGTTCATAGTTTGTCTCAAGGAATAATCCAAATTTTGGATTTTTCTATCAATAACTTTTGGTAGGGTTAACCCTAACCCTCTCTTTTTTTAACCTACTTTTTCAATACAAATCAGAAAATGGACTATCTAAAATGACATAAACTTTGCCTATTACATCTGAGACTTTGTAGAGGCTGAAACTTTTAAACTATTTTGTTCTTGGTTAACACTTCAATTTATTACTATTCTAACATGTCATTGATAGGAGTCTATGTGAGTAATATTAATTGGCTTTATTCCTACTTTCATGATTACCAATAGAAAAAAAAATATCCTAATAACTATGTATTATAATCTTTCTGGCCTGAAATTGGAACTAATAAAGTGTAGTGATTCTAAACATATTGCAGTAAAAAAAAAATGAACACTCTGATATACTGGTATGAGGTTTTAAATTTTCTTGTATAATTTCATAAAGATTTTATAAAGCTATATAATTTTTTCAAATGGTGGATGAATGGCCCTATCCCAAAAAGTATAGTAGCAAAATGGATTATCTAAAAGAAAAGAAAAATGGTGTTAGTGAAATAAAATAGAAATGGATATTGACAGAAATAGCAATTGAAGGGTAAAATATTGCAGGATTTGGCTCTGTAATCGAATGTACTATTGTTGCTCCAGATACTTTGAAAGCGTTACGGCCCCTGGCTTCTTCCTACTTCGAAGAGTCCTTTGGAGGAAGCTAAGTGGGCCTTAGCGGGACTTACTTCAGTCCCAATGAACTTTCTGTTATATATACTACAAGAAGGGAAGATCTTACTGTGAGAAGAAAGCAAACTGGGTCAGTAATGGGGAACCTTTTCCCATTCTTCCAAGCTGCATTCTAGGAACTGAATTCCAGGGGTGAATGAATCTGAATCTAGCGTGCATCTACTCACCTGCAAATTTGCTTCCAGTGCATCCGTTAGACTTAAGCACTGCTTCGATTTATAAATTGTTTTGGATGCTGCAGTTAGGCTTAGAAAAGATCTCACACCAATTTAGTTCTCATGTGAGAGGATTTCTTGGGGGTGCCCCCTTGATGGGAAGCCTAGAATATGCTACTCTCACAGGTGTGCAGTGAAATTTTCCCTTGATTGTACTTGGAGAAAAACTTCCTTTGAAAAGGCAGATGCAGTTAGGATGAATAGTAAGCGGGGCTTTAGCTATCAGGAGGTTGGAGAGTGAACATTAAGATTTTTCTTGAAGCAAAAAGATAAAAATTAGCAGACTCAATAGAAATCTTGCTTAAAACAGTGATAGACATGCCCAAAGCTTCCTAGGTTATTTCTCAAAAACTCAAGTTGTTGCTTCTGAAGAGAGCATCAAAGCCAGCCTTGTCATTTCCCTGCTTGGTGGCTCCTGCATTGATAAAACTTCAGCACACAGTTGCCTCTACATGACCTTGCTTTATTGGTTGCAAACCTTCTATCCTATTTTATAAATAGGCATATTTTAAGTTACTTTAAAACTATGTACTTTAATTGTGTTGCCACCAGAGGTTTATTCTCATTCTGAAATCCCACAAAACTACACAGTTTTTTCTGGAAGCAAACAATTTGCTCTTGGCAAAAGAAATAAAATTGCCAAGATACAATATCTTTAATATAACAGTTGGATAGGGCCATACTTTCAAGGTTATCTAGAGGTGACCAGATCCTTCAATTTTGTCTACTTTAGAGGTTAACTTAATTATCAGGCTCTTTAAGTGCACTAGTTATAAATAGATCAGATCTTTCAGACGGTTGCTTTTTGATATATTACCTTGGTTTTGACTTGATCACTTTGACTAAGGTATTACATGTGACATTCAAATCTATTATTCTTGCAGTTTTCTCAGAACTAATATCAGTGCTTAAATTCTAACTAAGGGCAGTTTAATCACTTGATCCTGGTCAGATACTTTGAAAGGTACGTTGCAGTGTGAAGTTGACCATTACATGATCTCCCTTCAAAGACTGTCTCACCATATTCCAGGTAAGGGTGTACAGACTGTGGCCCAGCTTGACCTGAGCTCATTATTAGTGGCAGCAGTGATCAAAAATCAGCACAGGAAAATCAGCACATATATATTTTTTTAAAAATTAGGTCCTGGTAGACTAGACTGTGAAAAAGCTGAGCATTTCAGGAATACCCTGACTTCAACACTTTCAAAAGCTAGGCTGCAGCTTCCTAACCATGCAATCTGCCACAATATAAACAGTTAATCTGAGTTTTAAGGGAAGTGCAGCCCTTTAGAAAAGGCTGCAGAGGTGTTCTTGGACATGGGAACAACCTGTAGGATCCATTTGTTGTTTGGATTTACAAAGGAAATTAATGAACAATCTCTTCTTCCATACCTATTGCTTCAAAATTATGCTTATGAAATGGTACCTATATCTAAGACTATATATAACTACCAAGAATGCCCCAAAGCCAAAAAAGGCTGTCTTAGGCTGGGAGACAGGAGAATTTGCCATATTTGCTCCAGCTGCAAACATAGCCTTTCAAAGGACACTAAGTTTGTACACTTCCCTTACTATTTTTGGAAATTGCTTATTAATGGATTTTAAAAAGTTAGACATGTTCAGAATGACAAGGCTGGAACCACCGGGTGAGTGCTTTCAATCCTCAATATAAGAATATGAAGATCTACTTTTATAATGTTTAAGAACTTACAATAAACAGCAAAAAGTAAGACAAGGTTTTGATTATAGAAAGTTTTAAGGGCTCAGAAAATGTTGGGAGTTTTGGACTTGGAATATCAAGA